AAGAAGAAGAGTTTACACAAACCCAAGAAGAGCAATATGTACAACATCTCGTTAAAGAATGTTAAATGTTGCAAATAAAAAATATATTTTACATTGAAAAAGAAATTAAATTAAATTTTACCTATTCCTGATCCATTTATAAATTATTAGACTAACAAGAATATTAGAATTATAAAATAAAATTATTATTGCCATCATGCGTTAAACAAGTTCAATATTTTATGGTTTCTATGAATTTATGAAGTTATCACTTCTGTCGAGCGTCCCGTGACGCACACCATTTTTTTTATATGAACTTCACTAAACCGTCCAATGCGGAAAGGCACGTATCTGATAAACTTAAGTCGGAGCTGGTTTGCTTGCTGAGGAATCGCCTTGCCGTAAGTGATGTGTTTATTAAACAAGCAGTAATTACACTTAAAAGTGTTGGAAAATCACTAGAACTAAACATATTTTATTCAACGGCCTACTCGACGTAGTGGCGGTGGCCAAACTCCTCAATCCTATCGCATGCCTCTTCGAGGCTTTGCAGCGGAACAGTCAGCACAATCCTCAGAAAGCCGGGAATCTGGAAGCACTAAAACATATGTTAACAATCTTTCAAACAGGCTGGCATTGCTCCGTGTTACCTCTCCGGGCAAACAGAAGACTGACTCTTCCCTCATCATTTGGACCGCAAAGTCTAGGCCACTAGTGAATTTGGGAAAGTGCCTGAGACTGATCTCCACCACCATGTACATGGCTCCCTCGGGTCTGAAGGGGGTCAATCCGCGAATTTGGCTGAAACGCTCGAAAGCAATATCCGCGTGAAGGGCCAAAGTTTTAGCCAGGCCGTCATGGAATGATTGAGGGGTGTTTTGAAGGATGGCCGGTATTGCACCCTAGAAAAAGTGTTTAGTGAGTTTCAAGCATAAGGAGGAGGCATTTCCGCGCTTACTTGTATCAAAGTGTTGCTTCCAATAGTCCTCTGACTGAGACTAGCCAAGGATTTCCGGATGTGCTCAAAAGCCCCAATGGGGTCATGCACAGCAATCCATCCTAGCCTCCAGCCTGGGACCAAGAATCTCTTGGCTAAACCTCCGCATACTAAAATGGGTACTTCCGAAGACAATGCGGCTGTTGAAATAAACTTTTTCCCAGGATATACCAGGCGCTCATAGATTTCATCTGCAATCACCGGAAGTCTGTGCCTGAAACCCAGATAGCATTTGATATTCTATGGATATCCCAGAATGTTCAAAAAATATACAGAACATTGCGGGAATATCCTGGGAATATACATAGGTGAACATTCTTAACATGAATGTTAGTGGAATATACATGCATGTATATTCATCAAAGTTCATAAAAAGTATATCCTAGGCATGTACATATATGTACATATTGGGTGTATGTGCAGATGAACATGCCAGGTATGTACATATTGTGTATATGTGCAGGTGAATATACCTAGTATGTTGAAAACAAATATTCCGGTAATATACA